GTGAGCAGTTAACAGAGTTCTGCAGAGACATACGTCTAAATTCTATTCATAATAGCCTTAAAAAGTCTTAAATTTAAATTTGAGTTAGTACAGAAACCCTGAATTAATTCTTCCTTCAAATAAATGTTATAAATTACATTTATTTGAAGGGATAATCATGGATATCAAAAAATATTTTTCTCAACACATTAACTTAACATAGAAGTAGAATTTTATTCTACTTTATTTTTTCATTGTAAGATTATGCTGCTGCAAGAAAGAATGAATTTATATTAAAACATCTTTGGCATATTTCCCTGGGGTAGTAAAAATGCCCACCTCCAACTTGTATGAAGAAGCAAAAACCGAAAAACTCTCACTGCCAAAAATATTCGGACTCTTGGCTGTAGCTTTTAGAACTGCCTGTCTCTATTTTCAGATTTCCTTTTCTGCATGCTAGGATAAAATCTAATACCTGTAGTTCTTTATAGATCTCTGTGGTCATACTGCAGCAATCAGGGAGAAGAGCTATAACTCTACTTCTATTGCTTTGTGGAAGCCAGAGACTCTGTGGTCCCACTAATTGAAATGGAGGACCCATAAAACCAACAGGACTCCTTCAAGACTTAAACATCCGGGAAACATAGTAAGAAAAAAAATTGGTCTGTGAGGTGATGTTAAAAGACATGCTGGGAGGTTTTAAAAAAGTTCTCTTCAGAGATGAAAGAACCTGAACAGTTTTCAACACAGAAATCTCAAATGGAAAGTGTAAAAATAATGGTTTCTCCTTCACTTGAAAGTAAGTTTTCAAGTGATGATGTAATTAAATCAGAGAAAACCTTCTTTAATAGATGGTGTTAGGCACTTAGTATGTTTCTTTTAATAGCCGTATTTTCTTTTACTTTAATTTCATAGTAAGTACATTAATTTCTTTTTATTAATGTTGGTTAATAGAAGATAGTTATTTTTGAAGAAAGTTTTTCTTGCTGGGAATAAACTAAAACATTTTCCAGATTGAATAAACTAAAAAAAAAATTACCCAAAAAGTTAGGAAGCTGTCCGCCGCATTAAAAGTTTTTGAAACCCCACAAAAAAACTTGCAAAAGCGCACACGGGGTCAGTGCAAGTCCACTGGTCCGCGGCACAGAGTAAAAGACTCATGGGGTTTTTTTTTACCCCTCGTTATTGTTTCATGAGGGTGAAACAATAACCTTCAAAAGAGTTTGAATGAGATACACTAACAGGCCACAACACCAAACCACACTCCATAAAATCCCGACTGAAAAGCGAATTTTCCTCCAGTTGTTTCTTTAGCTTTAACCTAACAGACATGGAATTCCTTGAGGTCCTCACCGATGGTCTAAACCGGGTCCTTCTGGTTCGCGGAGGCGGCCGTGAGGTCATCACCATCTATTCCTGAAAGAGCAGCACCCCCGGCCCCTCTACATTCCCCTTCCTCTGTTCCAGCTGTACTCTCACCTCTTCATCAGCATTGCTTCATTATGAGGTCCTGTTTATTTCTGTGCTGTAGTGCTCTCACACCCAACAAATAGCCCCACTCAGCTTCAGCGCCTCTCCCTCTGCTCTACCCACAGACAGATGAATCCAAAACCTTCCCTCTGCAAAACTCTGAAAAAGAAAGCATTCATATTTCCATTTAATCCAGTCTAACTCGGTTGGGATGAGGTGTTGGCGAGTGCGGGTTCTTCGCTGAAGTGTGAAAACCCCTGCATGAATATGTCTGTTATTGCTTTAATCTCTGTGTTTTTATTTTATTTATTTTGTTGTCTTTCTGAACACAAGAGTGGGACAGACATGGCTTCTAATCGCCACAAGTGTTATCTGGCTGAAATGAGATCATTGTAGGATTAGATCTCTTGAGTTCCCTTGTGGTGATTGGACTCTTCCGGCAGCCTTTTTCATGACGGACTCTGAAGCCCGCAGTCAGGACCACCAGCTGGAGGACGGAGGAGAGTACAGCTGGGGAAGTATGAACTGTGAAACTCACTTATATCCAGGAGACTAAAAAGCGGCTCTACTCTGCAGTCTTATCTTTAACCTGCTCACTCTTTAGCATGACATTTTCATCCGCTGTGTATGGTTTTACTCCACTTGTTCTGTTACTGTCACCACTTTCTTTCCCTCTCTACCCCTCCTCCCCCAAGACTTATTTCTGCTCATTTCTAAGTGGCTGTTTTATCTTTGTGGCCACTGTTTGTGCCAAAAAAAAAAAGTACAAGGCTAGCTTGTTGAGATTGACACGTAATTAAACTGTGAATATAGTCTCCTAGCAGAAGGCTGGGGTCCCAGCAAAGTGGGGAGACAGTTACAAAGCCCCCCCCACCTGGAGGAGGATGTTATCGTCGCCAGCACCTCTCGAACCCTTGTGTGATTCACTGTAAATAATGTACAAGCTCTGATGCGTTGTTCAGTATGAGTGTAGTATTTTGTGACCAACTGAGAAGCTTCTAAGTGGAGAGAAAAAGGCTCCTTCGCTCAGAAAGAACACTGAAAAATGCTGTTTTTAAAAAAAAATTATTTATTTATTTTATTGTATCTATTTATTGGCTCCCATTACTGCGGTAAACGTCATTGCTAGGAAAAGCACCTGCACTCTTCACCACTGTGCGACAAGTGAGATTTTGATGCTTTTAAAGGAAAAAAAAAATCACTAAATGTTATTTTTTCATCTAGAGAAATATTTATGTCACTTTGATTGTCAGAGATATATCATCTGTTTTGCCAAATTCTTATACATTAATGTGCCAAATCAAAGTATTTTTCAGAGAAATAGTGAAGAAAACTATTTTAAATTCCACTATATGAGACAAAGTGTTGTAAAAAAGTGAAAATAGTAAAGATACTCTAGTTTGAAAGTGGCCCTGTAGATAAATAAAGACTGAATGTTCAGTCATAGTTAAAAAAGAAAAAAAAAAACCTGCTCAATCAAATCAATCTGGAAATGCTGAACATCTGTTAGCTATTTCTTTATAGGGTTTTATAAAGAGACTAAGAATGGAGGACAATGGTTTCTGTAGCTCCGAAACTCACTTTGTCCACAAGAAGGAACTCTATGCAGTAGATTCTCCAGTCAGATTTTATATCCCCGAGATTGAAGATCTGAGCCACATGTTTCCCCACATCTGAACGACTCGAGAGCAAATTTGAAGAACAAAAGTGCATTTTGGAAGGAATGTGCAATAGTTGCAAATCTGGACTCACGTGATCATGTTATTTATTTTTTTACACATAATATTTTGTATATGTAGATTTCGTAAGTCTCGTACGATCCAGAATCATCTCACTCTGACCAAGGACTTCTGTCACTTTACTTTTATTATTCCTGTTTCTTTTCTTTAAAGAAACTATTTTTAGTCATTTGCACTTGTAGTAGAAGTATAAATATAAATTCGTATATATACATAGTATATATAAATATAAATATATATATATAAATATATATATATACATAGTATAGGGAAGCAAAACAAATTAGCTTATAGAACTATTTAAAAATGTTATTTAACGTTTTTAGTGTTGCTTGAATGTCTGATCATATGTTGTGAATGCTGCTAGTATCTATAGATTTATTTGTACTGTAAATAGAGATGAATCAACTCTAAAGACGACGTGAAAAAGGGTATAGACATACATATCAGTGCTGCTGGTGGTTATCTAACAACACGAGGCTGTACCTGTACGTGTTTGGCCTGTGACCTCTGGACAGGGTTCTGTTTTAATAGAAATACTACAATGAATAACTTGATGCAATATTCCATAAGTGAGAGTAAACCATTTCCCTGACTTTCTCACTGCTCTATTTATGATAATTATATTTTATCCCTCAGACAAGTGAGGCATCTTGAAGGTAAAAGAACTGGAGTTTTAATGTTTAAATTTAAGGATTTCTGATGTATTTGATAAATTGTAAACTTTTGACACCTGCTATATTATTTAAAGACAAAAAAAGACAAACCACTCCTCTTCTAGTCTTCAAAGATTGAGTGCCAAGTCATGAGGAATTTCCTTTTACATGCCCGTCACGGACAAAGAGGGAGTTCCTCGCAGTTTTCCAGTTATTTTAGGACCGCCTACAGCGTCGCCTGCATCATCTGAGCCTTTTAAATTTATTCAAAAAGATATTTGAAGTTTATTGGAGAGGTTTACTGGAAATTTATTTATGGAATTCTAAATGTTTTATAATTGCTGTTTGCATGGTACTATGTGGCAATATTTGTTTCAGTGGTTTTCTATAGTGATTAACTTACATGTTAACTCAAGGTGAAGCACTCGGAGTGAAAGTGGCCTGGTGTTCTGAAGAAGTTATATAATTTTTCAGAACACAGTTTGGCCAAACCTTGAAAAAAAAAATTGTTTGAAGGGGAAAAAAGGATGGAAAAAAATATGGGTTCACTTTACTTGTTATATTTCAATCTCTCTCAAGTAGTTTTACATAACATAATAGGAGATTATGTTTGCGAATCGACGGGCCTTAGAAAGGGTCATTTCACTTTTGTAAATATATTTCACTTAAATCTGAAACACTGTAACATACTAGTGTTGTCTTTTATTGTACACTGTTCTATCACTGTGGACAAAGTCTGAGTTTTGTAAGATCATGTACAATATTGGTTTTGCTTTGGTTTCCTTTCAGATTTTGCTTGTTTGCTTGCTTTACATCAGCACCGGCACTGTCATAATTCCAGTTTTATCAGCAGGACTTTTGGGTTTTAAACCTGAATGTGGCTGAGACACCATATCAGTTTACTCTTAGGGAGCCATCTATGTCTGCGGCATTGGAAAGCTCTATGAGAATGTGCTCTGCAGACTAACTCAGAGTGACCTCTGGTGGCAAGAGAGTGCACTACAGGCTGATATTATTTATTCCTATCCAGACTCACTAAGTTCAGCATTTTATTGGACGTCTTAGCATGCACACATTTGTTTTTTTGTTGTTGTTTTTTTTAATTCAGACATTTCATTTTAAAGAAAATAGTAGCCGTTAAATTTATTGTGCTTGTCACTCAATCTGTGAGGTGAGTCCTCCCAGAATCCCTCCTCCCTCTTCATCACAACACCCCTGATATCCACCATCCCAGCCACAAAAATCCACCCCAGCATTGTATTTTAAATGTGACTGCAGTATAATTCTGAAAAATTATCAAAGAATATAAAACTTGCGCTTCCAATTCTGGTACTGGCTCTGCTTGGACTTTAATTGTTGACTTAAAAAAAAAAAAAAAAGCATGTAACTACTTCCCCCGCTTTACTGATCCACAACTTTACATCATATTCATCACCTGCACAACTGTAGCATGAAGAAAAAAAAAAACACCTGCTGGTGATCACTACCCAGTCTCCATTCTTCAATGGATATTAAGGGCTCTGAAACACATCTGTTGCCAGGTGGAAGAGGAGGTCGTCCTATCAAAGAGGAAAAAAAATCAAGTCCCAGATCATTGCAGAGAAGGGACATGGCTAATACTCACACCCATCAGTGGATCACAGGGGCATCAGACATGTCTGATCCAAAAAAAAGGATCATAAATATCTTTTGCGTTATACTCAATCTCATCTAATCGGACGAGGAAAAACTCAAGCTGCTGTCCAAGCAGAGCCACCTTCCAGTTATGTTGTGTTACTCAGTGCATGCCTGCAACTACCCTGAACAAAGTGTGCTGAAAATATATTGGATGTTTGTGATATACAAGTATTCTGTTTGTATCAGTCAGAAACTTTGATTTCTAGTATATTTTTCTCTTTCATTAGGACTGGCCTATTGTTGTATCCAAGATGGATATTATTATAACCTATTTTTCAAATGGTAGATCTATCCACGAGATTCTCTTGTTGTGTCATTTATTAAAAAATAAAACAATTGCTAAAGTTTCTCTCAGTTAAGTATGACAATGTGTTTTCCAGTGAAAAGGATAAGACAAGGGAAAATTGTGTTTTCCAGTCTCTGGAAAATGTGTAGCAATTGTTGATATTTAACTAATAACACTTTAAAATGTGCAAATATGTGAGGTAAATTTTAATACAAGCTGCTTGACGGGTGGCTTGTCTGCTGCCTGACCAAAATCAGACTCAACTGCAGTTCAGATACAAGATCTCCAAATTTATGTAACATTTTGGGAAATGTGCTTTGTTATAACTGGCACAGAAAAATGGAAATGGGAACAGGTGTCTGAGCGTAGGCAGATCTAAAATGTTTTAAGGCTGCGTTCCAGTTATCTGAGAAGTAGGAACTTGGAGCTGGATTTGATGTCAGACCCGAGGTAAATTCTGATTTAAATCGGAATTTCATCATGGTGACACCCATAGACATTGTGTACAATAGCTCTTACAAACATCATTTCAAGATTTACTTCCCATAAGCAAGCATCACTTTTAATTTATTCAGTTTAGAGTTGCAGGCACCACATGTGACACTGATTTTAGACACATTGTTAAATCCATGTCTTAACCTGTTTCAACCATCTTAGTACTGTTGATGCGAGGTTCGCCTTATAATTTGTAACCAGGGATAGTTGGAGTAGTTCCCAGATTCCCAGTGGGAAATCCAGAGTTCCAGTTGATGTTTCTGACTGGGAAGTCAAAATTTCCGAGTTACGAGTAAAGCTGGAACGCAGCATTAGCTTTCAGTACAGGCACTTTGCAGTTAGGTTGTGCCTATGTTTTTGAAGACGGCCCAAACTGCTTCCATTATCTATGCCAGCCCTACCTTAGACTGATTACAATTACCATGACATGCACATTTCCCAAAACATTCAGACCTTTAGTATCTGAAAGTTTTAAGGATTTTATTTGTTTCTTTGATTCTCCTCAACAGGAACCTTGTCACTATCCAGACTTGACAATATTTTGTATGGATGCTTGGAAAACGAAAAATGGATGTGAATTTGTTTTCAATCGGCATACACGCAAAACCTGTTTAGTTTCACAGATATAAAATTTGACTTGTTCATGATTTTCCTCAACACCCTCCTCAGTCTAATGGTAACGCTGTAGTGTGTTCCTTTCAGTTCTGTGGGGGTGTGTATGTGTGTACACGTGCACTTGTAACTGCTGGGGGCAGGAGTGGTCAATGGGCATGGGTGGGAAGGGACTACATGTAAATAAAATCAGATAGTTAGTGTTGAGGTGTTTAATTTCTGTGTCAGTGTAAGTTAAATATTCTAAACTAAAAAAAAAAAGATGTATTATTCTCTATTGTGACTCATGGTACATTTAAAATAAAAAAAGAAAAAGCTGTTTTATCCATATTTCAAATGCTTATCTCTCTAGCTTCTGGCGATACCTGTTCCATTTTATAGATTTGTCAGCACAAAATGCAATAAACCAATATCATTTTACTACAGAATGTGTGTTTGCAGTTTTTAATCGTGTTGTTTTGACAATAAAAACAAAACTACAGATTGACCAGCACAATGGAAAACTATAAAACAAGCTCAGGGCTGAAAACAAACCATTTCTATCACAAAGCAAAACATACTTCATAGCTCTATTGTTCGTTACACACGTTAAAAGATTCTGTAAAACATTTCAGGCAAACTGAAAAGACAAACCATTATGTAATTCAGGGAAACCTTCCAAATTTCAACTGCACAAAATTGAGGAGAAAATCAAAACGTTTACAAAACATCTCCAGGGTCTTCTAACACAAACCTATCACAGAAACAGTTGCAGTAAAGGCTTCTAATCGCTCGTTTGTCTCAATAATGGCGAGGATACATGGACATTGGGGGGGGACCCTGCCCCATATTGGGAGCTGACCTCTGGGGCATCGGCGGAGCAGACCCAGGGCCCACCAGGTTGTTCAGAGACGGCCCACTCTGAATGAGTGTGTCCAGAGCTTTCTGGACGCTTGGGTTGTCAAAATTGATACCTGAAGTGGCAGCGGGGGGTCTCTGAGCGGTAGACGCAGGGGGTAAGCGGGACATTGACATGCCATAACCCTGGGATCCACCTGAAGCCATGCCTGGCATTGGTGAACGGGATGGATTTTGGGAGGGTGAGGGACCGAGTGAGCCGTAGGAGTGTGACTGAGGGGCGCCCTGGGAAACGGCAGTGGATCCTGATAAGGGGGTGGAGCCGCTATTAAACAGACTGAGGATTTTAGCCTGCAGCTCCTGCTGGTGACTCGGGTTTGCCGAGGCGCTGGAACTGGTCGACAGGTGACTTGGCTGGGCGATGCTGAGTGTAGATGGAGTGAGTCCTGCAGCTGATGGTACCACATCACGATGCTGCACTGCAGGAGCTGAAGGTTGACAATTCAGATTTACTGTTTATTATGCGTTTAGCATGAAAGAATGCACATCATTTACTGTTTATGCGTTTAGCATGAAAGAATGCATATCATTTTAAAACTATCAACTGGTAGTGATTTGAAGCAGTCCTTAAAGGAGGTGGTTACCTGCCAGAGGATCTTCAGAGGTTCTTACAAGACGAGTTCTTTTATCCTTCATGTATGCAATGAGGCTGTCCAGTTCCTCTGGGGTTAAAAACCTAGATGAAAAACATCCAATAAAAACCTTGTTCTTGGACTACGTTCACACAGCAGGCAAAGACAACTCCAGCCCAATGTTTCTTGTCTCATGTGACCCATATTTGATTTTTTCACTGAAATCTGAACAACCCCATTCTGATCTTTTCACGCTCTACTGCTACTTCCATGTGTGTTACTAAATCGGATACAGATCCAATAGGTTACATATATATGCAGTGTTTTTTAGACATTGTAGTCAGAGCTATAGATTTGGTGAACTGAGGTGCTGTGAGACCAGAGGCCAGTACCAACACTGCTTCTGTATACAAACTGGTAAGACTTGGTTAATGGAGCAGCTATTTAAGCGCACCACATCTCGATCCCACCACTCATAGTTCAGCATATGTATCCAAACAAACTTCTCTGCAGAAGTTGCAGGCAACACTCCACTAAAGGCCATTTCTATTTCTAACTTTTTTCTTCTCATTGTGATCTTGTGACGATACTCTCGGCTCCCACTAATCTACAACTTTAAAATGAATCCATCATCAGCGGCGACATCCATCATTACTTCCCCAAAACACTGTGCTGCTGCATCTATGTTATTCTGTGAATGCGAGCTACTTTGGGGTCATGAACTGTTCACATAGAAGTCTGGTTGTATCATTCAGTAGCATGAATGTTAAAAAAATCAATAAAAATCTAGACCTGCTGTGAGACTGCAGCATTAGAAGCCACAATTTTAATTTCAGTACATCTTTTAAAGTTTGAGTGTGTATTATTCGATACCTGTTCTCCGCCAGCAGCGTGATGCTGGTGAGCACTGAAATGGGATGGCTCTCTCTGTCAGGCTCCCGGAGTAACACATCATCCGCCATCTTGGCAGCCTTTCTCGCGATTTCCTCCCGTTCTTTTTCTCGGTTTTCCACTTTGTAGGTGTCATAGTTGTGGGCTACCAGCAACATTGCATCTTGCATTGGCATGTTTCGATGTTCTGGTCAAGTAAAATACATGCAAGAGTGAAAGGTATGATTCACTGAAGGGCTCCTTTTGAGGCTTACCGAACCAATAGATTCTCACGGCTGACTTAAATTACCTTGAGGTGTACCAAACAGGATGTTGACAGTGCAAGATCGGTGCACCTGATGCTGCTGAGTGATGATGATGGCGAAGGGAGTTCGGGCTCTGCCTACGTCCTCCAGAGCCTGGGTGAGAGAAACTTCCGTGTTCAGGAAGATCAGATCCACAACCATTCCCAAGTCACGGACCTTTCGCCCGACTGTCTCTGCATACTCCCTACAGTTGTTTTAGAAGCAAGAGATGCACAAAAACACACACAAAAACAAGAGCAATATGAAATGAAAATATCCAAGATAAGGTTAAAGATTTCCAGAAAGGCGATTGATTCTTGATGCTGTAAAGGACAGAGTGTGAACTTACTTCTGCGCCTTGTTTACAACAATCACAGAGCAGTCAACAGGGCGGTCTGCGTCGTAGCGCCGCTGGAGTTCTTCGTAGTACTGTCGATACAGTTCATTCCGACGGCGCTCTTCTGGTCGAGCGCGATCTTCTACTGATTGGCAAAAAGTGGGATGATGGTATTAAACGCTAAATCAAATCCAGTGACGTTTTAGACACAAGCCTCTGGATTTTATCAACACAGCTACCTTTAAAAAAAAAGACTGTACAACTACAGTAAAAGTAAACACAACCATTTTTTCTGTGAGTTAGTGCTTTAAATGAAAATGGAGTCAACAAATGGAAACCATCAGTAAAAACATCAAAGAGAACGAAGCTGTGGAACCTGCTGATATTATGAGCATTGTATTACTAACCTCCAGGCTCACGACGTCCATTCCAGGGATCCAAGTACGGGTCTCTGTAGGGTTCATCCTTTCTCCTGTAATAGTCCTCTATCCCACTGCCGCTGCGGTAGTATCGGTCATAATCTTCTCTGCTGAAATGAAAGATTACAAGGTGAAGCAACATCATAATGGATTTACCAGCTTGCAGCTAAGGGTCAACAGTCACCTGTAAGCAGGGTCCCGAGGTTCGCCCCTGGCCTCCTTGTCTCTGCTCCCCGAGCGGTACCGGAAATCAGGGTCACGAGAGTGGCTACCTGGCCGGGGTTCCCTAGCAGAGTCTCTTCCCTCACGGCTCTCCCGAGGTTCTCTTGCGTCACGGCCATAAATAGGTGAACGCGAGCGAGGCCGGCCCTCCTTTCCATAGATGGGCCTGAGAGAGAGACCAAGAATTAGAGCTAGAAAAACTCAAGAGTGTGAAGTGGAAGAGCAGATAATGCTGTTGGCGGCAATTTTAATTCATATTAAACAGGCTTGGATTTTAAGATTTTAAGATCTCAAGTGATGCAGTCACAAAAAAAACAAAAGCACAAATATTAACTTCAGACTTATGGTTCATTTTTATTAAAAAGCATCACTTTACTTGGAAGATTTTAGAACATTTTCTTCTCACCTTTCGGATAACATATTTTTAATTTGCACTTGGATTAGTTTTTCAAACCAAAACTCATTTTTATAAAGACACTTCGAGTTATAACTGAAAGTGAGAGCAAAAACAGCTTAAATGCAGTGCATGGAGTCTCTCCATTTCTTAACGATTCCTTCGATACCAAACCAAAAACGCAGAACTTCAGCACATCGCAACACGCTTTATTGAAATACCGTTCAATCCAAAGTGATTGTGTTTTAGTGGACGAAAGATATAAAGGTAAATTGAGATTACAGTTGAGATAAAGCGGTTGAGATTGAGACAAAACCACGACCGGTTTCAAAACCACAGCCATTTTTCTGCCCGTCATAGCTTTCCAATACAAATCCTTTGAGATGCTCCAACTCCTGCTGTGCACTGACAGTCAGACGGCTGAAAGAAGGTTCTGAGATTTTTCCTCCTACTGTTGTGAAATATTTCCAGTCGCAATAGTCACGCAGAGACTTCATGTGGAAAGTAAGACTGCCATCCACTTGCAGCAGTTTCAGACATACGTTGAAGTGATTGCATTTACTTAAAACAAAGCGGTAATTTTAAAGTTTTGTGTTGATACCATGACGCTGCGGTGTTTCGACTCATTGTTAGGAGTTGAGAATCTCATACTGGAGATAGAGGCAAGGGTGACAAAGTTGTCTTTATTTTGTTTTATTTTCTGAATCCTTAAGATGGCATCTTGTTCACAGGTGCAAGAAAGCAAATGAACGTTGATGTAGTCATGTTCTTCAAAGATCAATAGGACAAATGTCTTTAAATGTTAAAAAGTCGGAAATGTCAAAGTTTTTAAAGAGTTTTCAAGGAGTGTTTAAAAGAGACTTGAGCAACGCAAACCCTACTTACAGATGTAGGACAGAAATCTAGGCGCAAGAATTTGACAAAAATCACACAAAGAACACTTCCACTGAGAGCAATATAAGAATCTTTGAGACAAGGACACTTTAAATTACACCAGATGTGCGTCTCTGTTCTTTATTTCAACTCATCAACAAAAGTTAGTTTTGTGTAAAATTTTGACATGTCAACAAACCATTTCGAACTCATCCAAATGTGAGATAGCTCCCTTAACGTTGAATTCAACCCTTGGGAGAAATTACAGGTGATGAAAATGTTACATACGCTCTTTACCGATAGAGAGGCGATGGTAGTTCTTCACACTCGTTTCACGTTACTTTACCTTCGAGGAGGGCTCTGCTGGGATAGAGGTTTAGCTTGCCGTCGCTCCACTGCCATATTTACATCTGAAAATAAATGAATCCAAACGTTGAACACAACAGTGACATGTAGACCAGCTAATGCTGTTCACGCAAAATGAGAGGCCGCATCATTCCTTTTCCGATCCAAATGAAAACTTAGGGAGAGGATCCAAATTGGAAAACGCAAAATGGACGAACGTTCAAAGCACAGAAAACCGAGACGCCAAATCTGTTGGATGAAAGTTTCTCTCGTCTCCGCCCAAGCTACTTCCACTTGGGAATTCAGATATAAGCTGGTATTTAAAAAAAAAAAATAAATAAAGAAAGAAATGAATTCCATCTGATGAACTTAATTTGATAGAAAATATTGGCAAAATACTTTTTAATAAACAGTGGTAGGCACACTTTTGCTAATTTGCTAATAGCAGAGCTAGTTTTTTTGTTTAGCGCTTTTGTTAACTATAAAAACATATAGCGTACTTAGCTTCCCCCTCATAAAATTTTCCCACATAAATCCTTTTTTGTTTTATAAGCTGAATAAAGTTCAACATCTAAATGAAGACTGTACATGCAGCAGTGACTTTTGATGATCTCACATTCTTTTTTTCCCCCACCCAATAACTATTTTAATCAAGAATCATACAGAAACAAAACATGAACAGAGAACAAGATAATCACATAAATTCATGATCTATAATAATTATAGAACATGGAAATTATAATGTGGAAATGAAATTGGAGCTTGAGGATCTTTAAAAGGCAGATATAACTTAACTTTCGCATTAACTAAATGCCATGTTGATGCAGTGCTTTAGGGAAGCTAACTTTTATGAGGTAGAGCAACTAACCTCTTAGCTAGCGGTGCCTTCCACTGAATAAAACTTATATGAAGATAGTCTATAATCTACATATCAGCCATTAATATAATTGTATCCTTTAAACACAAATCTATGAATGGTATTACTAAACATTAAATTGTTTGTTCTGCATATTAAAAAAGTATGCAACAAAGATCAAATGCAACATTTGTTTAAACATGCTCTATAGAACGATGTTAAATAGGAACTACTTTTTGAAAACTATTGTAGTTTTCTACACAAACTCAAAAAAATCCTCAATATGTCAGAAAACTAGGACTTTAAAAAGTTCGTGTCCCAAACCGAATATGTTGAAATAAAAGACTTGTCCTTTTGACTGTAGTTTACAAATACTTCTCAGTCTTAATTACAGAGGATCAGCTTTGTAAACTCACCAACCCCAATAACTGATTCATGAAAAAAAAAAAATTAAGGTAAGTTGGGTTGGAACTTTGAAGAAATATTTAAAAAACATCAGTATAACAATACTGTGGTTGTTGCCAGAGAGAAAACTGTTCATCAAATGTTTAAAAGTTTTGAGTTTAGCCTGCTCTTAGTATTGGCAAACCCTGTACCTGTAATTTGATTTAAAAACAGTGGTCTTTTAATTCATATAGACAATATCATTTTAAAGTAAGATTTACATGCAAAATGTTGCATTTGGTCTCAAATGTTTTAAATATTAGCATACATGTCTGATTTTTAATATGGAGAATTTTGAAGAAGTGAGCCCATCAAAAGTTTTAGAATTTGTAAAATATAACAAAATCTTATTGAGACCATTTATTCAAATGTTTGGCAGTTAAGGCTTACCTAGTTTGTACCCTTTATATATTCGGCCCTTTTGAGCTGCTCTTGCAGCTTCAGCCTCCTCAAGGCGCTCAAATTGAACAAATCCATAACCTCGAAACAAGGACACGCCTGGAAGAGGAATATTTTAAGTGGCACAAAATTGTCTGTCCACCATCCACCAAGTAATAATGTTTAAGTTAAAGGCATATTCAAAATATTTTAAACAGCTATAAAGTTCAGCGGCAGCTTTTCGGATATTATCCGTCACATGTAACAACTGGCGAGGGAACGCTTGTAGGTTTACTAACCGACTATCTTCCCGTATGGAGAGAAAAGGTCTTCCAAATCCTTGTTTGTCATGTCAGAAGTTGGCAAATTCCCAACAAAAATCCTTCTCTCCAAATCCCTTGGATCGTTACTGCTGCAGGTGCGTGAATATCGCCCTGGTGATGGGCTGCGGCTTCTTCTGCGAGACATGCCTAGATCTTGAGGTTTATCCTTTTCTGTCTTCGTGCGCCTCAAAAGCTCGAACAGGTTCGGTTTGATTGCAAACAATTGTCTTTAAACTGTCGTCAATCCTGAAACATGTCAGTGAGTAAGAAGAGAGATCAAGTTCCATAACAAAATGGGTTTTGTGGATGAAAAATTGAAGATCAAATTCACAACAAAGCAAACTGAAATGCGGATAGTTTCAAAGTTTAGAAGAATTTTTAAATGAACATTTATGCAGTAAGTTCATGGCAGTTTTCAAATAAATTTTTTTTTTTTTTTTTTTTGCATTTTGTTTCTTTTGCGCCAACTAAAATGAAACAGCACTTGCATTGAAACGTGGCCGACAAGCTGGTGGTGAAAACTAGTGAACGACAAATGCGGGTCGAACAACGCAAGTCTTCAATTAAATCGCTGAAGAGACCGACTTCAAAAAGAATCTGCCTAAAAGAAATACGCAAAAGCTCTCCAGAAACATTAGAGAACTTTGCTTTTTCTGAACACGGACAAAAAAAAATAAACGCAATTGTGGGACAGCAGATTAAAGCAAATCTTTAACGGGTCATGAATGCCAAAAATATTAAAGCACCACCATTAGACTTTCATCAAAATTCTAATAATTTAACCTGCTTTGATTGGCAGACCAATTAAGGTCAAACCAAAATTATTAAATGCTCACATTATTTTATCAAATACAAAACTGAATAGAGTTTTTCATTAATCTGATCTTGAGCATTTACTTTCAAATAAGTAAATTAGCTTGTTATGAAAATGCAAAAAGAATTGGTTGTCTATTAATGACCCGTTTCCACTGAGCGGTATAATGCGGGTTGGTGTGGTACGTTGTCCATTTCCATTATAAAACTGGACCTTACAACCAACCAGAACCATACCATTCCTGGCCCCCTTCATTTCTAGGTTCATAGGATGATGGTATGGTAAGGTAGAGCTGCAGGCCTCACACAACACACCATTGTCTGGAGGACAAGAGTCCATGCACCAACCCATGCTATAACACACAGTGGAAACGAGGCATACGTTAACTACAAGTACTGCTGGTGTATTTGAATTATGACATTTAACAAAAAAAAAAAAAAAATTCCTCCATGACATTAAGCTTCCGCTATAATTTTGAGAGAAACTTTTGCAGTACAACTTTTTTATGTAAGTGGTTTACAGTGGTCAAATTTTATGTGTTGCAATTGCTAGGAAAAAAAATACAAACACGACACTTTGAGTAATCGTCTTCCCAACCCAAAAGTAAATTGATTGTTCAACCTCTTATTGAGTTCAGACAAGACGATTGGGTTTTGTAAAAATGAAATGAAATGCTTGTTCAAAATGTCCTCTTCTCTTGAAATTGTGCGGCTGTTGCAGAAGAAAATAGGGATTCATAAAAATGAAATGACAGGCTGATGACCGATTGAAATATTCAAAATTTGAGTGTAAAATTAAAGAATGTTCCTCAAACTCCATAAGAAAGATACTCAGTCAAATCTGAAAATAGTTCTCCAGTTAAAGAAAAAACAAACAAACATGCTTTTGGGTTTATGGGTTCATCACAGCAGCACGATATAGTAAGTTGAAATGTTTTTTTCAGGGTGTTTTTGTTGGGGCCCAGTCCCTTGCATACCTTTAAGTTGAACCAGGACGGATTCAGTGATCATCTAGTTTGAAGATCCAAATGTCTAGATCCAAGATAAAGAAAAAAAATGTCATTTCAAATGTTTTTGTTGTCAATAACAACTTTACAAAGAACTGATAATAAACACAAAACAAACATTGCAATGTATTTGACACAAACGTGAAACTACCTGTTAAATAGGCAACATATTTGTCAGTTACATCCTGTTTAACAAGAAAATGTTACGCTTGTCATTAAAGTGGCTTAGCCAATGAAAGTTGAGACAGTGCTCCAATTCTTTAAAAATGCTTATCTGTTCACCTGATTGGACACCGCTGAAAGGCTACGCTTTCGTTCTGAATTTTGGACATAAAACAACGTGGCATGAAACAAAAATACTTAATGCTACTTATAACATTACAGACAACTACTAAAAAAACTATATAATCGTGTAAACTATAGGCCCAATTAATGAGTTTGAAAAGAAAAACTCCAAAATCGTAAACCGTAAATGAAGTGTTTTTCAATGACAAGACATCAATAATTTTGCAGCTATTAAATATGTGCACACCTACAGATGCGAAAGGTGTCGACTTTAAGTGTTCTTTAATAGGTGTAGACTTTAATTAATAAGTGTTCAGGTGGCTAATTGTGTTATATTGCTGGTAACAAGCATGTAAAAAAAGCGACGTTAAGTTAGCTCTGTAGCTTAGCTTTGATATGGACTTAATTCCGTCGCGCGGCGGTCACTTAGTTTGCAAATGGCGTGATACTTTCGATAGAACAGAGTTTAACAGAATACTTTACAACAACAAAGCCAATCATTTTCAGTTTTTTAAAATTCCTTTCACATGTGCAAACTTCCATTGTTTCCAGATAGATTAAGGTTTGCTTCACGTAACCAGGTTAGCAATGTATGTTAGCTACTTAACAACAGCAACAATGAAATGCTAACACCAGACCCCCTGTTCGCTGACATTTATCAAATACCGACTCAATGTACTTGTTATTATTTTATTCAGGGCATAAACAACATTCAAATTACCTTCGCCGTTTGTCTTTTCTCCGTTTAGGTCGCTGTACCCCACGGAAAAGTGCTGCCTGTGGTCGTTCCTGGAAGGAAGAACACAAACGACGCTGAAGTTGGCATCCGATTCACAGCTTCCGATGTGATGTACAAGAGTGGCGTTTGATTAAAGGTTATTTCGTTGCATTGAAAAGGTCTGACCTGAGCTACATTGAAGACGTAATTAAAAATCTAAAAGTAATTGAATTTTAAAAGTTGTTTATATTCATAAAATGTATGTAGCCTTATCATCTGTGAAGCCTTTATTCAATTTGTGAAATGTAAAAAAAAAGGGTCTATTTAAGGATTTTTGGCTTTTAAGGGATTCCGTTTGAAAGCTGTAACCTCTAACCTGGACAGAATTATTTTGCAATGAAGACGGATAGGAAACATGGTTTGCGATATGTGAAAGAGTTAATCTATTTTTGAAACTCAGAAAACTGAATTTAGGGTTTCTGGTATCACAGATTTAGCTAAAATATGATATTACTCAGATATATCAAACATGGTCAAATTTATTATGCTCTCTAACTACATTATAGAAAACACGATTTTAATTAGTAAAATTTCAATTATATTTGTAAAAACTCTTGAAAAAAGGTTAATGGGCGAGAGGAAGATGAATTATAACAGAGGTATGAGAAAATAACTGCCTCTTGAAATATAAAAGAATATAAACTAATAGTTAATGCCTTTTGTGTGTTTAGAGGTCATTCCTGAAGAAATTATTTCAAAACAACAAATCTGTAAAAATATGAGTGTAATGAAATTTATTTAAAAGAAATATAAAAAATAATTTCAAAGTTCACAAAAATTACATGAACTGTTTTGCATGGTTGCAAGTTGGTAAAAGTTTAAATTGAACAAATGATCATAAATGCCCGGAATTATTTGAAAAAATATATATATATGAACGAGATGAAGTATGTCCAAAGGGCACGCCGTTATAGACACGTCACAATCACCGGAGGGAGTGTCGACATTATTTTCTCTAAAAGAGAGCAGTTTGTGAAAAAGACTAGAGGACAACGGGTATGTAACGATGAGATTATTATATAAAATAAAAGTATTTAAAACTCTGCCCTAAAATGATTTGCTTTGATGAAATATATGATTGTGCCATGGACTGTTTTCGTTTTTCTGGTGTAGAATTTTCACACAGTCTCTTGAAGGGGAGTGTCAGGACTTTTGCGCACGCTACACAAAATAGTAGATCTACACTTATATTGATACGAATATTCTTGTTAAAAATAAGTTTGACATCTGTTATAGCCGAAAGTACTGTCTCTTCAAAGTTAGCTTAACCCTGGTCAGCTGTTGAACTTCCTCTATCAGGGAGGGTGAGGCAGAGGCCTGCCGTGAACGCCGACATGCCGAAGCTCATAGAGTCACTGCAATCTGGTCTGCTATTCATTGAATTTCTGGGAAACCGATTATCCGGTAAAAGGAAAGATGAGCTTCGAAACATCTATAATGAGGACTTTAGGCTCAGGTAAGCTTCAAACTATCTGTGTTTGTTACATATTGTTACACAGGCGTGGGTGTTTGGTTATTTCATGCTGCACCCACTATTCACAGAAATGGAGTAAAACATCCAAACTTTTCCACTGTTCTCTATGCTCTACGGACGTTCAACCAAGTCGACATAGTAAAGGGAAAAATCTACAGAAATGGCCATTTTGAGGTAAGTTTTGATCAAAAGACACTTCATTTTCTTTAGAGACAAGTCTGGACATGTTTTTGTATTTGTTTCCAAAACAAAACAAACAAAAACATTCCAACAAAAGGAGGATGCATGATGCTATTGTTGCAGGTTAGGGTGTCCTCTGACCAGGCGAAGATAATAGGACCTCAACAAACACACCGACATGCAGCTCAGAAAAGTACAACAAAAGAATCACCTGGTCGCTTTACAACAAAATCAGATCCTGGGGTGACCCCAAAGAAGAAGAAGCAAGCCTCTGACCAGCAGAAAATAATCGGGCCTCACCCAACAAACGTACAAGGAACTCAGAAAAGTACAGCTAAAGAGTCACCTGGTTGTTCTACGACAAAAACTGAGCCTGGAATGTCCCCAAAGAAGAAGCAGGCTTCAGATATCCTTCAAAAGATGAAGACAAACAGGTATGTTGAAGTTTGCAGGCAGACTTGTGTTCAACCAGCCTATGAAAACAACTTGAATTGTTTTTTTTTTTAAATTAGTTTATACCTAAAACTGTGGATGAATAACTTGGCTAGATAAACCAAAGAACAGCTATGTAGATTTCCCAAATTTTGTAAATCACAAATTAAATTTAATGAATGAATTCACACTATTTAAGATGTAAAGAACAGTCTTGTTGTTTTAAATGAACTTAAAAAATATTTTAATTTAAAAGGAAACTCAAATGCTGTCCTATCAAACAGTAAAGCAACAACTGTCCCAACCGCTGCCAGTGTGTTTATGTTTATTCATTTTTACAGATGGTATGAAATAAAAATGTAAAATCAGCATTCGTTGAGGTTAGTTTACAAGTACATATTCTTTCCTTGCAGAATATCCTGTTCTGATTTTTAAGCTGGCACTATTGTTAACTGGTTAACCAATAGTTTGCTTTTTGCAGGACTACAGCTAAGTTCATTATTCTGATAGAAAAGTGTTATAGCTTTTTTTATAGCCAGCGAATCATTAATGTGCAGCAACACTTGGGGGAGGGGCAGTACTGCATTATTCTCCTTTCAACAGCAGATGAAAATTCACTTGGCACATGCTCTTTAATAATTACCCTATCAGGAACCAGAAACTTGTGTTCATAAATATCTCGTTTGCATGTTGTTGTTTTTGAAGGGCACTTGCAAGAAAAAACTCCCAAATGCAAGGGCTTGTGGTTACACAAAGAACCATAAAGGAAGATTTGTAAAAGGTCTTCCATTACCTCCATAAATAATTGTATTTATTTATTTTTTTTCGCATTAGTGGCCTTTAGTGAACAGTGAATTGGATGGATGAAGAAGAATAAGATGTTTGCATAAATATGATTAACATATAAGAGGGGAATTACAGAAAAATATAAGAGGAGGACAGAGAGCAGTTGATGCCCAATCCTCTCATGCCTTATCTGGAGTTACTTTATACTTCTCTCCTGGCTTTATCTTGCTTCCTCCCAACTCCTCAGATACTTCTTGTGGGAAGTTTCTCTGTTCACGACTCCCCCTCTTGCTTGACCTCGACCTGTGCCAGGCGAGTCCCTCTTAGAGGCCTCTGTTTGCTGTGAACTAGCCAGCTGTATCTGTTTCTGAAGGACACCTCCAGTCTCCAGAAAGGCGATAAGCCCTAATCAAAGCAATTTTGTCTCTAGAAATGTATCCTTCCCTTCCAGCCAATGTCAGAATTCTGCTCCTGAAACGTCCTTGTTGTGACGACAGACACTTAAAATTCAAACGCTCTTATTTGATCATCCACTACAAGCTCCAACAAGACTTGGCTTGAAAATAGGGCATTCAATAGTTGGCCAACGCCCGTTATCTTCATGATAACTTTTATAATGCTTCCTACACACTGTGTTAAGTTGGTAGCCTAAGTCTAAAAAAAGTTGTGCAATTTCTTGATCATTCGAGTTAAATATCACTGATAATTACACACAAAGTATGTTTTAAAAGTAATTCATAATTGGTCCAGAAAAGTTTAAGCCATCATATCTTCAGCTGCAGTAGACATAAACATATTATAAAATTGTTATGCAAGTACTTGTTTGTATGTTCTTTTTAAAACTTCCTGTTTAAATTATACCCTTTTTAATGTAAATTTATTCAATATGGCTATTGCAGTATCAAGTCAGAAACTAGTTGGAGCAATGAGGAGTTACAGTAGAAAGTGGTTCCATTTCATACTTTGTCCACCAGAGGGCGCCAGCATATTACGGTAAAAGCGACTGGTTTGTGAGTGTATTGGTAACCTTGCTAAATAAGTAACGTTGCAAACAGCAGAAAGTTGAGTAAGAAAATCCAACATGTGTGTTCAGTTTTTTTAAAAATATGAAGTTCAACTTTATGAAGTCAAACTTGCTCTCTCCTAGACTTTGGGTTAAAAAATGGAAGAATAGACTGAAATATTTTGACAAAAATGAGTCACAATATTTAGCTGTCCAATAATGATAAGAAAGAGAGCATCAACGTCATCATGAGGAAATTATAACGTATTATTAAATCTTACCAGCCACGTTTGTATTCTCAGTATGTTTCAGTGCAACCAGCTTCTTGCTAGTTTGAATTAAGTGCAAGGTAGATTTCATCACAAACTATAAAATGTTATTTGATGATGGTGCTTTCCAGAGTAAAATATTTAAAATGAGACAAAAAAAATCAAAACAGTAATGCTAAAGAGAACTGAAATAAAAATACAAGAAAGCTTATAATGTAGATGGTGGCTAGTATGAAGGCTACTTTATGTTGGAATAAACACTCCTGGAAGCACCAACCAGCAAAATGTCAAACTTCATCTTGGGGGGAGTCTTAAAAACATGGTTGTAAGGTCATTACATGGCGGTTAAAAAACAAAACATGAGAGATGCTAAAATTAGATTTCATCTTTGCACCTTCTGAAGATACACTTCTATTATCTACAGAGCTCATTTATGTTTTTTTTTTTTTTTTTTTTTTTTCCTCAAAATGAGATTCATCCTTAACATTTTCACATCTGATTTATCTGCATTCCTGTTCACTTCTTGTAACCAGCTTTCAGTTAAATGTATGGAGGTAAAAAATAAAAATGACACCTTTGGAAAAAGTATCCAGAGTTGTAAAAGCTGATTTTGACCAGTGCAATCTTTATTCTCTGAGCACATACCAAGCACTTTGCAGACATGCATGCTATTCATCAATTAAATGACGGATAATAGTATGCTATATCAAAAAACTATTTTTAAATGTCGGTAGATATTATGCGTTTGTCAGCCTCTGTAGGTATTTTTGACATCCTTACAATTGCACGTTTAACAGAATTGTATGTATTAAGGTGTACATTTTCCCAGTAGCACATGGTAAATTGTTGTTGCGATCATGTTTTAGTTTTGGACAGTAAAGGTGGATGCTGCCTGGATTGTTTGTCCCTTATTAGAATTATAACTGG